GATGATCTATTGAGGTCCCTTCCGACCCTAACATCTATGAATCTATGAATCTATAATTTTTGTCGCTCCCTGCTGGACTGTTGATTTTTTTTTTCACATTCCTGAAGTGAGGGGCTGAAAACTGGACACAGTACTTCAGATGAGGCCGCAGCAATGCCAAATAGAACAAGATAATCACTTCTCTTGAATTGCAAGTGATGCTTCTGTTAGTGTAGCCCAGTATGGCATTGGCCTTTTTTGCAACAAGAGTACTCTGTTAGTTTATATTCAGTTTATGGTCCACTGTGATCCCCAGACCTTTTCTGTAGTAATGCAGCCTTCTCCTTCTCCAATCTGTATTTTTGCATGCAGTCATTCCATCCCTATTATGGGACTTTGCATTTGTCTTTGTTGAATTTCATCTGATTGATTTCAGATAATTTTAACAGTTTATCAAGGTCATTCTGAATACTAGCCTTACCCAACTGCAATGTCTGGAATTCTGCCCAACTTGATGTTGTCCACAGATTTGCTAAGTGTGCACTCCATCCCATCCTCCAGATCATGAAGAAGTTACTAAACAATAGCGGGCACCCTGAGGAACCCTAGTCAATACCTCCTCCCAGCTAGACATTGAGCCATTGATGCTGAGCACAATGATCCAGCCAGCTGCATATCTAACTTACAGTACTTTTGTCACCTGTTATTTCTTAAGTTTATTAATAAAAATGTTTTGAGACACTGTCAAACACCTTGATAAAGTGAGGGCATACCAGTTCCACAGAGCCTGTCACATCATAGGAGGAAATTAAGTTGATCATGCATGACCGGTCTGTAATTCTCCAGATTCTCCTTCCTCCCATTCTTAAAGATGGGCACTATATTTGCCCTTTTCCAGTCATCTGGGACCTCCCCCACCCTTCACAAGTTCTCAAAGAGGATAGCCAATGGCTCTGAAATTACTTCAGCCAAACCCTTCAATACTACAGGATGACTCACACCTGGTCCTGCCAACATGAAAACATCCAGCTTCTCTAGCTATTCTACAGCAGACACTTGCCGTGACATCACCCTTGCCATTCTCCCTGATGACCTTGACTCAGAGACTTTTGCTAGGCCTACATCCTGCTCTGTTCTGTGCCTCAGAACAAGTCTCTTTTATGAGACTACCTTTTCTCTTTCTCTAACTCCCACCTCATTCACTGAATACCTTCCAATTCTGCAGCAGACAGACAAAGTATACAATAAGTCTCCTTTGTTATGCAACTTTGATTCATCCCTACTGAGATCATGAATCCAGAATGTAGTAGTACATGACCATGTCATTAAAGTTCAGCTCCCAAGCTCTCCTAGGTTCCCAAAAAAAGGAGTGATTAGACCCAGGTATTTTTGGGTCCATTCCAGGCTCTGGAGACACTGATTTGGCTCTTTTCTCCTCCCCTACATTGACCTCCTGTTTTATTTCTGTCCCAGTCCTGTCTTTCTCACCTCTGGTTTCTTGTCCCAATATCATTCTCTGCTTATCCAGTCCAAGTCTCTACTTAAAGTTTCTCATACCAGTTGCAGTTCCATTGCCTAGGCAATATCACTTTATGCCCATGACTGAGTCCTTATTTCCTCCCTCAGTTCTCACTCTCTCCTCCTCCCTACATCCAGTCCTCATCTTCCTGCCTAGCTAGGCCTAATTCCCCCTCTAGCTCCTTTCATTATCTGCTTTCACCCTTACTGTTTCCCAGTCTCCCACCCTGGGCTCCTGATCCAATAGACATTGGTGACATGCTTTAATGTCATGTTTGTTTATAATCGTTCACCTCATTCCAGGCTGTTCTCCCCTCTTCCCACCACTTCATCCTGGGTCCTTCCGTTTTCCTGACTCTTACTCCTAATATTGTTGCCAAACTGACCCCAATCTCCTTGTTCCAAATCCTAGTAGCACTTTCTCTGTCCCTTCCAACCGCAGTGTCTTGAGATTCCTTATCACAACATAATCCCTTTCCTATACTCCCTTGTCCAGGTTTTGTCCCCTATGTATCTGAATCAAACTGCTCCTAGCTGTCTGGGTGCGAACAGGAGGGTTACTGAGAACACAAGACAGACATGCTCTTGACTTGCCAGACCCATTCTAGCAAGGATTAGTTGGCTCCAACCATTCTGGGGAAGCTCCTGCAATACTACCCCCTGGTACACACTCCTTTGCTCTGTGAAGATAGCACATGCACAGTGCCATAGTCTGATCAGCAATATGAAGCATGATGATGCATCTATACTGGAACATCCAGGGAGGGATATTTGCAAGCATAAGCACCTACCTGCTCCAGCCCCCACATGTCAAACCCAGAAATGCAGTACGGCCACTCCAGAGGCATCCCTCTGTGGCTACTTTTGAGACCTCTGTCTTCAATGTACTTGAAAGCAGCCATGGGAGACTCCTGTGGAGTGGCGTCACTGGCACTACATTTTCTGGTTTGGCATGTACATGTGGGAGTGGGTGGGCAGGTGTGCTCAGAAGTGCCTCCCCGTGTCCCCAGTACACTGGCATTGTGGTGTAGATGCATATAGAGAGCCTTGAGCATGCTCAATGCAGATGGCCCTGCAGAGATTTTAACTGCTAGAATCAAACAAGTCTCTGAACATGCATAAAGTGATTTTTTCAAAAGATTATGACTTGGCCAATTTAGGTACATTTTTAGAACAGCGAAGGGCAAATTCCTGACACAAAGATCCAATTTAAAGTCTCTTCTCCAAAGCACATGGATGCCAGAACTATCTGAAAAGAAGGCTGCCAGATGTATTTATTTTTAATATGCGTGGTAACATAGATTTTGCCCTAGCCTCAAGTTTGGAAATTGCTGAAGCTTTCCAAAAATATGTAGCTTGAGGCAGATTCCCAGTGAATACAATTTCAGATCAAATAGCTTTTTAAAAGTGTTTTTATTCTACCTAAATTGATGTTTTAAGTGATCTTTTCTACAGCAACGTTGTAGAAGTGACAATGGGTACTTGATTTTCAAATGTGATGCACCATTTTACCCACACATTTATGCATAAACACTTAACTAGTGCATACAGTTTTTGCAGCTTAAGCTGTCTGTGGGTGCATACATATGCTATTATGGTGCCTGAATAAACTGCAGAGCTTATTGCTCCAGGGTTTATTGCTCCCAGGCATGCTGTTTGAACATGTGTCCAAGAGCAATTAACTCCAGAGCAATAAGCTCTGCAGTTTATTCAGGTACCCGCCTCCATGTGCTGCAGAGGGTTAGGCTAGGGCACAAGGGAGCTTCAGTGCAGGGCAGCCCCAGCACTGAAGCACTCTCATACCCCAGCCAGCCCTGGTAGCATCTATACATGTGCTGTTGCAGAGTAAATCCGTTTACTCCAGCCTAATAGGGGCACATGTGTAGACACTGAGATGTTTACTATGCAGCTAATCAGTCAACTGTGTAGTAAATGTCTCATGTAGCCAAGCCCTGTATGGATGATGACAGTAAATTGGCTCTCGAGGTGCAAATTCATTTTTGCATGCAGTTGCACAGTTATACTTACAGACACTACTAATAAAAATATACCACTCTAATGTTAAGATAGCACTATGTGTAATCTACATAGTTTAATACTTAAGAATACAAAAGGATCAACATGGATTTCGGGAATTTGCCGAAACCCTGAACAATACACAAATAGATACCCATTCTGAAAATCCTAACTTATAAGAGTAGTCTCATAGTATTTATTTGATTGTAGACAAGGCAACAAAGAGGCAATGAAGGAGGACTATTATGTGGGTAAGAGTTTGCAGACTGGGTTCTTTGCTAGGCACATTTTACATATTTTCCGGCTCTTTAAAGCATCAGGTACTTCAAGAGTTAGGATACAAGTTTAGATGGATCAATAATCAGATCTGGTAAAGCAGACTTCTATGAATCTCAGATGCAAGATATTAATTAAAACTATGAGGAAATAAACCTTGTAACAAGTTTCTAGATGCCACACGAGAGAAACTTATTTCTTCCGGTGTCCCCTTTGGTGTTGATTGTTTTTGCCAGGATGCACTTGTTTGGTAATGGGAAATCATCTGACTCTAGAAGAGATGGTTTCTTGACCTTGCCCTCTTCCCAGCTGGAAGGATCATGCCCAATAGGAGAGACTATTGACACACCATTTACTAAAAAGAGCAAAAAAGCATGAATGAGCATGAAAGATTATTTTCTTTTAATTGTTATTTATAACTATATATTTCACAAGCAAAAACTTATGGCTATGGAACTTAATGCTCTAATTAAAAGGGGGCTGATCCAGCAAAGATGCAGTACTCTTTTAACAACAGTGGCAAGACAGGGAAGAAAAGACACAACACTCGCATCAGAACATGTATCAAAATTATCTTGTGTGTATTTTATTTTGGGTAACAGCCAAGAAATCTGACATTTTGCCCAATATGGCTTTCTTCTACAATTAAAAAAGTTGCATATACCTACAGCTGAGTTCACCAACTACAGAGAATCTGCTGTTCACTTCTTTAAACTATAGCAGCATCATCAGAGCGCGGCTTCTGTGAAATTTTCAAAATGAGTTATAGGAGAAACATTTTTAAAATTTTAATTTAGAGTATTTTATATTATTTATATGAAAACATACAAATTTTTCATTTATACATATACTACATAAAAAACTTATTGTAACTATCGAGCATCTTCAACTGGATATTTACCTTTTGCATAAGGGGAAATAGAGCTTTAGGGGGAATAATGAAGATATATTTTTTGTTTGTGCCAACTAAAACCTTATTTAAATAATAGAGCAAACAGTTCCTTGACACTTTTAAAAGATACAGAGATTTAGATGTAAAGTACATTCATGAACACAAAGAGACTATTTTCTCCCTGAGATTACCAGTGTAAATTACTGTGTGGTAATCTGTGAATTAACAAAAATTATAAATAATAAAGACAGTAAATAAGAGTCTCCAATCTCTTATAGCAATTTTCTCTCAAGGGAGAATGCTGGCATCAGATGCGTGTAACAGACTGAAGAATCAGGCTTGCTACCTCTCTCCTGAGGTCCCTTCCAGCCCCTAATATCTATGAAATCTATGAAACTCTTGTGTTTCATGGATTGATTTTACAAGGGTAAAAAAAAATTCTTTAATGGAGTGAATGTAATAAAATTGCTTTTTAATGAAAGTTTTACATACAGTAGTGTATATAATTGGTTTAGGGTTATTTTGTTAAAAGCATGAATTTTATTCAGAGGGCGAACATCCTCAAAATGAGATTCTTGGTTTTCTAAGTGATACTTAGTTTAGTATTCCAAGTGTTCAAAAAATCATTTTGCCTTTGCAGATCATTATAAAATAATTATACAGTTTGTGAGAAGAATTGCTGGTGATATTGAACATTAAAACACTGCAATTATTACTCAGAGGTAAAGTCTGATGAGTAGTAGGTCAAGAGTTCAAAAGAAACATTAAGCATTTTCCCTTTTGTTATGCTTTTGTCAAAATCATTCAGCTTTGAAGGCTAGCAATTACACTCGTTCTGATTTCAAATGCTTCACCACTCAAAAAGTTATGGAATGGACAGTTTTTAAAATGCTACAAAATAACAGAATAAAATTGGGATGAATTAAACATTCCTTGCCCTATTCTAATTTTTTTTCCATTGAAATCTTATTTTGATATCTAGAAATCATGCAGTACATAGCTTTGGGGTAAAAACGGTACCTGAAACCGAAGAAGACACTTATGCATAGGAAAAAGGGGGAAAGCGTTAAGTTTGTTCTACCAAAATTTATTATGTAGTAATTACAAAGTTTAAAGACTCTTTCATTTTAAATAAAAATAATAGGAATAATTACTCACATTATATAGTACCATCAAGTGGTTCCGACAAATAACACATGAAATACAGTGCATTTTCAATCAGAGAGACAAATACTTTCTCATTCACAGTGTTTGACATATTACAGGAAAGCTTGTTCACATAAGGATTTTTTTTAAGGTCATGCTCTTATAAACAGTCCACATCACGCTGTGCCACAAAAACAAACTATCTCTCAGAATGTGAAGTATCGAGCAAACCACTCCTGGCGTTGTGGATCTGGTGAAGCCACTGGTGAAGCTTCAGTCTGAGGAGGGCTAAATTCATAAAAAGAAAAAACATTTAACCCACAACCAAATTAAGAGTGCCAAAGGCCTGAAACCCCCCCGCAAAGAGTATAATACAAGACACAAAGAGCCCATTTTGTTCACGGCTCAAATATCACATTTTTGTATCACAGGTCATGGTTTAATGTCCATCTGTAATATCTGTGATCATCCACTCCATTGGAGAGCATCAGCAGCACAGACAAGGTCAATTAAAAAGCCATATCACAAGGTGGAAAAATAATATTTTGAGATAAGCTAATAAAAATCTCAGTTATCTGTTTTTGGGATCAAAAGAGGTTTTGTTGGAAAAAGGGGGACTTTGGAGGGTCCTCTTTTAGCATCCTTTTCCTAGGTAAAGTTAGTTTTCCAGAAATATGATGCAAGCATCATATTCTTAAGGACATGTGCTTAACAAAGAGTAACAGTAACTAAACAAAATACATACTCTTTTAATATTTTACATAAATCAACTGGAAATATTATTTGCATTATTTCATGCACATCATTTAAATACATCATTGTACACTAGGAAAAAAGGAAACTGGTGCATTGCAAGCAAGATTTTTCTTCTCAAATATTTTTAGAATGCTCATTAAATTAACAAGGAAAATAAGCTATACGCAACTTTAATACTTGATCAAAGTTACTTGGTCAACCAAATTAAGAACAAAATAATCCCTACCGTTTGACTGGGATAATACAAGGCACGACACAATTTGCAAAGGAAACTCCAGAGTCACAATCCATGAATTCGTGCACATGCTTGTTACAGATGTCTGAGCATGCACATGCAAATCAAATGCACAGGGAAAAATAAGCAACACAATATATTTAACGCATTGTACTTTGTTGAACTAGAATTTATCACTTATTTATTTCTAATCCTACCATTTGTTCTCTTTATCAATAGCAAATTGTGGCATTAACCCCCTGAGCCAGATGACACGAGGGGTGGATGCGGTGGGGGGTGCAGTAGCATGACAGAAGACATTTCAGGAACATCTGGGGGCTTTTTTAAAGTCCCCAAAGTAGGTGAAAATCCCCTCCCTGTTCCCCTCTGTGCTTAGAGGCGCATCTCCTCCCCTTCCCTTTGGCCCCCCTACCCTGCTGGCTGCTACTGCTTTCCCCGGGGGAGGGGGGGAAGTTTCGGAGCTGCTCTTTCCTGCTACACTTGGGCTGTGCCAAGGCTAGGCTTTGAAGTTTCCCCACCCTTGGACAACAAGGAAAGCAGCAGTTGTGAAGTGGGGAAGGGCAGGGTTGGGGGCATGCCTCTGAGCATAGGAAGGAAGGAGGGATTCTTAGCTGCTTTGGGGGTCCTTAAAAGTCCCATGAGGTCTGTGCACTCTGGTTGGGGGGTGGGTGGGAGGGAGTGCAGCCACCTCTGCAGCATGGGTCCCTGTTCCCACACCCCCACTTTGCCAAATCCTGGATCCACCCTTGGGTGGGAGGATAAGCAACTGCCTGTGGAACTGGTATTTGTGACAAGTTGATTTTCCTATAATGTGTTATAGGCATAATTCAGAAATACCAAATGCAGAAGCAGAGCACACCACTTCTGCAGTATAGTCAGTCTCCAAGTACCTAAGGCTTAAATATTGAAATCTTCCCACTTAATAGTATATTTCACTCTGCCCTCTACTCTGCAAGAATGAATTCTGGAAATGTTAATGATGATCCTTATTACTGGAAGCACAGCATTAAACACTAAAGCATGCACATATATTATATTATATTTATGAAACAATTTGACATAGGTGAGGAAAGGGGAAAACAAAACGAAACAAAACATTCAGGTAACACAGAAACGTTTTGTTATATTAAAACCAGTATCACAGGATACTAAATAAAAAACTTACGTTAAAATCAATTTCTAAAGGATAACCAGTAACTAACGCAAACATTTAAAACAATTGTTCATATATGTAAACAATTGGAAGCACTTGAATCATATTAAGTAATCTTAGAAGTGTAGGGTTCAAGGCTTATAAAAGGGTGGGAAAATATTTCACATTTCTACGGACTCTACAATAAAAAGGAATACTGTAAAGAGGTTACAAATATAGTGCAAAATTTTTAAATTCCATAGTAGTATTTGTACTCCTGAGCGGTTCATGTGACAAGTGGGATTCAGCTAAATAGGAATACAAAATTTCTCCAAGTTAAGGAAAAAAGATTGGTGAGGCAGTGCTCACCTCAAAAATGTCTTGGGCTCTTTGGGTGGTATTGGCTGTGGAAGTGGTTTGCTGCTGTTGAACTCAATATCGTGGATGGGTGAATTAGGAATGGGGTCCAGGCGGTTAGGATGTCCATTGCCCACTCCACTAGATTCCAGAGCACTTAGATTGGGAACACTCACAAACCTGTTTGTTGACTTATCATTCTTCTTCTTTTGCTGCATTAAAAATAACAAATGTAAGCAGGCTCCTTACACCAGAACAGAGGAGGAGTTTGGAAGATTAGATAGATTTCCATTTTGTTATGGTTTCAGAGTAGGGAGCAAGTTTGGAATGGAAGTGGAGTAATTTTTATAATTGCACATTTACTGTATATTTTGAATAGACCCAAAAAGCATAAATTCTCAGAGAAAAATAAAATACCTCAGCAAATCTGAAAAACTATTTAGGCCTAGCTTGGCAATAAGTTACTCTGAAAGATATACAACAGAATGTGGTATTGAAGTGATAGAAGGGAGGTAGCTAGTATAATCTACAATAATCTACAAAATTATATTTCAGTCTGTTAAACCTTTCATTTTCACTTAAATCTCCATTCTCTAGAGAAAAAAGACCAGTGTTCCATCTCTAAGAAACAAAATACCCACTAGATGGCAGAACTGAACTGAATATTTCAGTTTGAAGTACCAGTAACTTACTGCTATGTAAAAGTGAATGATTATTTATGAATTATTTTCCATGGCAAGAGTTACTTTATTTCCCTCTCTCAGATATTTTTAGAACTTATAAACTTAAAGACAATTCATGTATGAAAAGTTACTATCTAAAAATGGTCTGCTGAGGGAATTTCATATTTATTCTTTTTCAATAACTTCCAGCTCAAGTTCTTTTTGTTTACAAGGTTTTATTAAAAAATATGCTTCACTTGATTTCAAAGTGAAGCTGAATTCATTTCTTCTCATGAACTGTGTGTCATACATATTTAGCGATCATATAAGTCCCTTCCCTCAATAACAAACACATGACCTGACCTCAAGGAGTATGGGAAAAACAAAACAAAACAATTTGTTCTTATTTGTAAACCATACATCTTTGTCATGTCTTTTTTACAGATTTTTCTGTGTAGAACTGCATTTGACAGAATAGGACTGATGAGTTCATGTCATGCATGAACAAGAGATACTGAATGAGTGCTATTTTAGCCCCTGGGGTGTTTGTACACGTTATCGGGTTTCTCTAGCTAAAGATACTCCCTAGGTTTATTTCATTCTCGCAACGCACCATGATGAATGACGTTACGTTTGCATTACATAATGCGTAATGGGTTAATATGCATACAATGGGTTAATACGCTATTACTAGTAAAAGACGCTAGGGGGCACCTCATAACAATTTTATCCTCTTGACCTCTTAATACTAAATTACAGCAGGGGGCAGTTTAAGAATGTATATGGTCACTGGTTTATTTTTTTGGGTGGCTTTTGGTTACACTTCTCCCCAAAATTTCTTCTGTTCACCCAGCTATTCGTTGCTGGATGCTCTTTCCTAGTGCTCTCCCTGACAAACCTCCATGGTTTTCCCCTCCCATCACTGAGCAGACTCTTGGGGTTTCCAGTGGAGCCCCTAATTCAAAGACCGAAATGGTGAACTGGTTTTGTATGCTTGCAGCCATCACCCTGGCAGCCAGCTGCATGTTAGGGGAACCTCGGTGACATGGTAGGGGGACCTCGGACCAGGGTCAGGCACAAATGGGTGCTGTTTTGGGGAAATGTGAAAGGCTGCCTCGGCCAGCCCTCGCCTCCAGCCTGGAGTGGAGCCCAGGCGGCCAGCCTAAGTCATATGGGGGGGTGGACTTGGGGTGAGACACGGGGTTTTTTTTCAGTTTGGAGTTCCATAAACAGTCTCTCCTGCATGGACCACTAATCAACCGTTCACCCAGCTATTCATTGTCTGGTGCTCTCTTCTGGTGCTTTCCCTGACAAACCTGCATGGTATACACTTTTTCCCCTCCCATCACTGGGGGGACCCTTGGGGTTTCCACAGCCCCTAATTCAAAGCCCAAAAGGACAAACTGTCTTTGTATGCTTGCAGCCATCTCCCTGGCAGCTGGCTGCATGTTAGGGGGAACTTGGACCGGGGCAGGCACAAACGTGGGGTGCTGTTTTGGGGAAACATGAAAGGCTGCCTATTTGCATGATTATAGATTTCATAGATATTAGGGGCCGGAAGGGACCTCGTGAGATCATCGGGTCCAGCTCCCCCGCCCCGATTAATTTTGGGGAACACCAGTAAGGGGCTTTTCCTTTTTCTAAACATGTTTTTCCATGTGGCCTCATTCATCATTTAAAAAAACAACTTCAAGTGTGTTTGCAATTCTGTCTCAGGCCACACAACTGGAGACGATGCAAAGACAGTGCATCTCTTCTTTAGCAGCCACTGATGGCCAGATTACCCATACCGCCCCCCCCGGTGTATCCTATTTGCATGTCAATTTTGGTTTCCTGCATCTACGGTTACTACGATCCAGGTGTGCCTAGGGTTTGTAGGAGCACCTCATATTACAATATTAACCCCCTTTTTTATATTTTTTTCTTTATATTTTACACCCTTTACTTTAGCCTTTACATTTTGGCTGCCTAGAGAGACTGACCAGAACTATTTTTTTTTTCTCAGTGCCCAGTCATCTCCCCACTCCCTTCTCCTGATCCGTGGTTTTCTGTTAAGAGTCCTTTCTTCTTCAGGTGCTTGCCTGCACTTAAAACCAACAAACCCGGCACCCATCCCCCATGTCTTTGCCCCAAACTTTGGGGCAAAGCATCTATACCAGAAGACAGGCGGGTGATCCAGGTTGACCTGGACAGGCTCAGCAAGTGGGCGGACGAGAATCTGATGGTGTTCAACGCCGATAAATACACGGTTCTCCACCTTGGGAAAAAAAACCCGCAGCATCCTTATAGGCTCGGCAGTGCTATGTTGGCTAGCACTATGGAAGAAAGAGACTTGGGGGTCATCATTGACCACAAGATGAACATGAGCCTGCAATGCAATGCGGCAGCTAGTAAAGCGACCAAAACACTGGCTTGCATCCATAGATGCTTCTCAAGCAAATCCCAGGACGTCATTCTCCCCTTGTACTTGGCCTTAGTGAGGCCGCAGCTGGAGTACTGCATCCAGTTCTGGGCTCCACAATTCAAGAAGGATGTGGAGAAGCTTGAGAGAGTCCAGAGAAGAGCCACGCGCATGATCAGAGGTCAGGGAAGCAGACCCTACGATGACAGGCTGAGAGCCCTGGGGCTCTTTAGCCTGGAAAAGCGCAGGCTCAGGGGTGACCTGATGGCCACCTACAAGTTTATCAGGGGTGACCACCAGTATCTGGGGGAACGTTTGTTCACCAGAGCGCCCCAAGGGATGACGAGGTCGAATGGTCACAAACTACTACAAGATCGTTTCAGGCTGGACATAAGGAAGAATTTCTTTACTGTCCGAGCCCCCAAGGTCTGGAACAGCCTGCCACCGGAGGTGGTTCAAGCGCCTTCATTGAACACCTTCAAGATGAAACTGGATGCTTATCTTGCTGGGATCCTATGACCCCAGCTGACTTCCTGCCCTTTGGGCAGGGGGCTGGACTCGATGATCTTCCAAGGTCCCTTCCAGCCCTAATGTCTATGAAATCTATGAAATGTCCTGCAACCACAGCACCCCCTCTCTCCTGCAGGGAGGATGTCCTCTTCCCTTCCCATGCCTCCCCTGCCCCCATGAAACCAGTCTTGCATCAACCCCCAGAGCCCATTAGCAACAAAGGTATCCAAAACATTTTCTCAGAAAGGCTTTATTCAATTACAAACTAATATGAAATATGAAATGAAATAAAAAAAATCCAATTACACGTTCGCAGAGCACATTCCCCTGCCTTAGCAGCCATAATGTGTGCCGCCAGGCAATTTCTGATTGTGGCAGGGCACTGTTTGTGCCTGCCACTTTAAGGGCCTGAACCCAGCAGCCAGCAGGTGCCTGATTAGGGCTGCCCATATAAACAGGGCCATATTACCTGGCTGCAAGGCTGCTGGAACATCCTGGAGGTAAGGGAGGAGCTGTAAGAGGTGACTGGAGGCTCCTGGTCTTGGGCACAACCTCAAACTGCACCCTGCCAGGAGTAGGTGGTCTCTCAGTGGTGCAGGAGCCCCAAGAAATACTGGGCCAGTTACCACCCCGGTGAAAGGCGGGTCAGAGTGCCTTAACCCCAGCTCCCACCTTTGGGTGGGTTAGGTGACAACGGAGGTAGAGGGGGCCAGGCATGGCTATGGGAGCCCACCCAAGGAGGGAAGCCCTGAGACCCCAAGTAGAGGGGGTGTTGTGGAGCCCTGAGTAGAAGGGACATGTGCTTAGACCTGATCGGGTAATTAGCTGGCCACTACTCCGGTGAGGGTTGCAGGAGAGGCCCAACACACGGTACATCTGCCACCCAAGGAATGGACTAGCTAAGCCTATGGCGAAAGGGTGCCTGCTCCAAGAGGGAGCAAGGCGGCATAAGTTGTCAACGTGAGAAAGAGACCCTGTGAGAAAGGGTGGAGTGAGTGAGGCCTGAGTGAGAGGTAGGCAGTATAACTGTGTGTGTGACTGAGGCCTGGCGGTTTGGCCTAAGCATGCTCCAGCTGTAGGCCGGGGGCACAGTAACATCTGGATGCCACCTGTGAGGCTTGGCCTGTGGTGTAGGGGAGGTACAGAGCTGCGGACACCCCCAAATATCGGGGTGCAATAATGGGCAGCCTCCCACTTTATCAAATTATTATTCCAACAAGGCGTGGTGGGTGAGACAGGTGGGCAGCATGCCCAAAGGCAGGTGTGGGGCTAGCTATGGCTAGTGGGGATACACACCTTGCCACACTGATCACAGCTCCCCTTCCGCTGTTTGCCTGAATGTCTAACCTCCCCTCCCCCTTGCCTTGCTGGTCTCTATGTACATCTTGCAGCTTCTCTTGCTTCCCTTAAGTCTTGGGCCCAAGACTCACTGAAAACCTCTTGTCTCACAGATATTAAGCAGCATGCAGGCTGCCACTATGAAACGGGTGATGTTCTCCGGGTCTGCCTGCAGCCTGTAGTTGAGTGACCTCCAACGGGCTTTCAAGTGCCCAAAGGCACATTCTACACTCATGCAGCATTTGCTTAGTTAGTAGTTGAATGTCTGTTTTTGTGGGTCAGTCACTTGCTCCCCATAGGG